TTGGGGTTGAGGTGAGACAGGAAGAAACTGCTGACCTGAGAAAGATGGGTTTTGGTCAGAAAAAGGAAAATGTTTAACACCAGACACCATTTGAACAGTGACAAAGGAAAGGGAGTAGTAAGCCCAGCAGGAGCCTGGAGACCACGTACCAGATCAGCATCCCCAAGGCCGGAGCAACTGAGCCACGGGCATGAGCAGCACAGGGCCAGAGCAGCTGAGCCACGGGCATGAGCAACACAGTAAGCAGCAGAGTGAGCACTGTGGACACACTGAGCAGCACGCAGCCAGAGCACACAGGTAAGGCTCTGAGGACTCTTGAGACACACAGCAGCAAGGAGGCTGGTGAGAATGCCAAGATACAAGGCACACCAAGCCAAGATTTTCCTTTTATTTCTTCTACCATCTCCAACCACATCTCATCCCAGTGCTAAGGGCTAGGCATGGGAACCAGCTCTGCCTTAAGAGCAGCCAGGGAGCCGCCAATCAACCACTTTCTCTTTTCATCATTCACACCCTGACGCACAAGTGTCACTATGGCTGGGAGAGCTTGGCATCTGTGGGGTGGTGGACTCCCCCGAGGAGCTCAGCATGGACTGCCCATCAAGCCAGACCATGACTACTGAGTGAACCGACAGAGACCATCCAGGCAGGTGTCTCGCTCACTTGGATTCGCACCATCTGAACTGAGGTCTGGAAAGACCTAGGGAGAGCTGTTGCAGGTTTGTGCATGTAATGCCCTCTGGCAGTGCTTGCAATGCTTCTCAATAGGTACCCTGTTAAGGCGCTTAATCCTCCCTGCACAACGGCCTGACTCTGTTCTGTTGAGTTTAACAGTGACTCCATCTTGGTACTGACAACTTTTCTGATTTTTTCTTCCCTAATTGCTCTGGGTAGGACTTTTAATACCATAGAATACAAGTGGGAAAATGGGGTCCTTACTTTGCTCAGGTCAGTAGAGGACTTTTATAGAGGCATTTATCAGAGCAACAGTTTACCCCTGCTCATAATTTGTCAAGTATTTTTAATATTTTTTGAAGTATTTTTAATATTTAAACATGTTCATAGAACTGCAATTTTTAACTTTAATAAAATGAACCATTAACCCTGATTTTTAACTTCACAGCAAAAGAATTAAAACAAAATATTAACTTTCCCACAAGGAAAAAAATTTGTAATTGCAACCTAATGCTGTTACCTACACCCAGTGGCCTCAAGAGTAATGTGACAAAGGCACCCTGTCCCTTAGCAGCCTTTCGAGGTCCCTGATTCTATTTCTAGACTTCTCTTTTTGTGCACTTTGTCATGCAACTTAAGAGTTGTACAGATGTGCATACTGGGAACACCACGGCACCATTTCGAGTCATTGAAGACTCTGAACTATTTAATCAGATATAGCCTAGAAAAACCAAGATAACTGGGACTGGAGAGGTGGCTCAGCAGTTAACAGCACTGGCTGCTCTTCCAGAGGATGAGGGTTTGATTCCTAGCACCCACATGGTGGCTAACAACCATTTGTAACTCCAGTTCCAGAAGATCTGATGCCCTCTTCTGGCCTTTGCAAGCACTGCACACAGCTGCACAGACATAAAAGTAGGCAAATGTCCATCCACATAAAAATAAAAAAACAAGCAAACAAGACAAACAGAAAATGACTCAACTGTTGCATGTCTTCCATATAAAATAGCTTAATAATGTTCTCATGCATAAGTGAACCATTTATGAACTTACAACATTAGTTGATAAACTCATGCTAATCTGTTTTTACCCTGATAAACAGAAAAAATAATTTTTAAAAGGGAATTGCCTTATCTTGCCTACGAATACATTCTCTAACTGCATGGGAGTAGGACAGATATTACAGAGAATGGTATTTGGCCTCTGCTTCAGTCTTAACAATTTCATCAGAAAGGAGGAAAATTAAACTTAGTACATTATAAGTAGCACAAACTAAACACTAGAAAATATGTTCTGAACAAGTAAGCTCAAAGGAATGAGTACTTGGTGTGACCTGAGGAGGTAATTAGAGCTCTGTGAAGATCAGACATGAGTAACGTCTAGACAGATGCCCAGTAAGCCAGGCAGAGAAGAAAGACGGCTCTCAAGAATTCCTCCAAGGTTATTTTAGTCTCTGTTCAAAGAGCAAGTGTTGCGGCTTATGCCAGTGATCTGTTTAAGAGGCTGGGGCAGCGGTACAGTGAATCTGAGATCAGCTTCAAAGAGACCCTGGTTCAGGAATCAATAAATAAATCCCTGTTCAAAACAATTATCCCCAGATGGAGAGAGGGCCCAGTGGTTGAGAGCACTGGCTGCTCTTCCAGAGGAACCGGGTTAAATTCCCAGCACCCACATGGCAGCTCACAAGTGTCTGGAATTCTAGTTCCAAGGTATCTGACACCCTCACATAGGCAGGATAGACACCAATGCAAATAAATCTTAAAAAATAATTTTTAAAACTATCCCAAGCAGAAAGTCCTTCCTTGGCTGTAGCGAGCAGCACAGAGCCACACCTGATGGAGATGTATAATCAACTCCTGAGATGGCTAAGGCCTGACCTATGCTATGATCACGCAATGATTATCAGCTGCCTGCATATGCATGAACCTATGGGCAGTGCCCACCTGGCAGTTCGGGGTTGGCAGCCCATGCCTACTTAAGGGCTGGGAGAGGTTTGCCCAGGGAGAGAGGGGAGAGAGAGGAAGAGAAGAGAGAGGGGAGCGAGAGAAAGAGAAGGAGAAGGAGATAGATTGCTGTGAATAAAGTCCTGGAATAAACTGCAGTGAGAAGAGCTCCGGTGTGTCGCGCGTCATCCTTGCTGGACGAGGTGGGGCGTGACACTTGGCCACTACAAAAACATTAAACAACACAGACAACCCATACTACCTTACCCACACATGTGTCTCTCCCTTAGAAGGGCCACCTGACGAAAGCAGGAACTAGACCCATGTAGTGAACTAGGTCCTAACCCTCCAGACCATAAGAGACATCATATCTGTTACACAACTGAACCCCAGCAAATACAGGGAACTGAATTTCATAAGAAAGCATTTAAAAACTGGGAATAAAAGGAAAAATTAGAATAAGTTCAAAGAAGAGTAAAACCAAGGAAAAATGTTGAAGAAAAAAAGTGAGTTGAACTAAAACAGAATTGGATAGCAGCTACAAATAACAGAGAAAGCTTTGAGAAGTCGATGTATCTAAATCTGGGGGCAGTGTGGTGATCCATGTCTTTAATCCCAGCACTCAGGAGGCAGAGGCAGGTAGATCTCTACGAATTTGACATCAGCCTAATCTACATAGTGAGTTCCAAGGCAGCCAGGACTACATTGTGAGACTGTCTCAAAACCAACAAACACACACAAAAATGATGGGCAGGAAAGGAGACTGCAGTGATGGACAGGTGTGGTCAGCGAGAAAGCTGAGTAGGGGCAGTGATGGACAGATGTGGTCAGCACTGGAGTGGTCAGTGGGGAAGCTGGACAGGGGCAGGGATGGAGAAGAAATCAGGCTTGTTTTCCTTCGTCAATATATGTTATATTTTTGTTAGCACTTCAGAGGAAGGAAATTTTTTAATTTTGATTTTACTGGGCTATACATCTTTCTTCACTCCCCTCCCTTCCAGAGGAAGGAAATTTTTAAATAATGAAGTTTCAAAGTTGCATGATTCGGTACAGTTCTGGCTTTTAATTTGCAAGGACATTCTGTCACCACACACTTCCCTCCTTCCCCTCTCCTGCTGTCACAGGCAATATGATGTAAAAGCTTCTCATTGAGGACAATGAACCCTGACATCTGGTCTTTTCCAGACATAATAGGCACTGTAGCATGACCACACATGTCACTCTTGATCACATGTCACACAGGTCTGATTTGAACAATGCCTATTATTCTTGGTTCACTGGGAAGAAAAGCAACAGAAGAAATAAAAATTATTAGAAGAAAAGCTGCAAAGTCATCACTTAACAGAAAGCGAAGAAGCAAAGACCTTTTATACTCTAGCCACTGTTTCACAGGGCAAGCACCTAAACCGAAAAAATGCACAACAAAGCCCAAAGCACACCAGTGTTCGCATAAGCAGTGGTTATCAAAGCTCTGAAACTTGACCTCTATGTACAGCCATGTGTGACCTTCAACTTCTGATACTCCTTCCTCCATATAATACTACCACCTGACTATATATGGTGCTAGAGACGGGCCTCAGGTCACACATGCCAGGGAAGCACTCTCCCCAATAAGCCACACCACACCATGTATAATTCTACCGAAGTTTGTAGATGTTCATGCCTCACCACCGTGAACACAGGGATTATCAAATATATCCTACATTTATCTACCCATGTGATTTGGTGTCCTCTAGCATTTCAACTTCAATACACAGAATTTGCTATTTTACAAGCAATACATGATGTAGCATTTGCTAGCGCCCCACACACTGATGTCCGCACGCTTTGCCCACTTTACCCAGTCACCATAAGCTTTCACAGAGCATTGTCGTGCATATATAGTCAAGTCTGATCTATTTTTCATGCTTTCATTAGAAGGGACAGTGACCTGGCTTCCAAATGACCTGAAAGTTAAGCTGAAGAATAAAAGCAGTGTGGTTATTTTTAGAGCTCTACAGGCATAAAAATACAGCATGGAGCTGTGACCCACGGCTACGCACAGCAAAGCAGCACCCATGCGACAATCTTCACCTCAGCTGGGAGAGCATCTGTAGTGCCTCACGCCTGCTCTTCACTCCCTTTCCAGAGACATGCAGCATGCATCTGGGACCAGCATCCATAGATGCCGGCATCTTTTGCAAACAAAATAAGCTACGCTCCAAAGGTAGACAGTTATATAATTTGTGAAGATGAAAGGTGTATATATATTTCTCTTAGCTTAGAGACAAGTGTATTAGTTAGCATTCTCTCGAAATGAAAACAGCAGAACTTCATTCCTAACACAGAAAAGTTGTTTGTTTCAAACACAGCTCCAGTGGGTAAATGAGGAGACACGTTCTTCACCGGAGGACTCCTCCAAGAGAATGAGACCCGCCTGAGTGAAACACAGCTTCATCTCCGGCTCCAGCAAAGTCTCTGGCAGCATTCCCACAACAGATCACTCGGCAGGTAAGCTTTATGCTTTCTGTACAGAGAGCAAGTCAAAGTCTACATTTGCAAGACTGATATTTTAAAGCCTCCTAAGAACTTCTAATAGCAAGAGTTATTTTCAAAAATTGTAGCTTGTATTATTATCTTTGGTTTTATTTAATTTCTGCTTAGTTATATCTAAGTATTTTCAAAGCTTGGGTTTAGCACTGACCTAGTTAGAAATTGAAAGACTTTAATCCTAATGTTCTAATCTTATTTTGACCTGCATGTCTAACCAGTGAAAGATTCATGAATTTTTCTGGCAATTTTAAATTTTTAAAAAAGTCATAAAAATGTTATGCAAGTAAACATTTAACATCTCCACAGCCTAAAAATGCCACTTTTCAGCTGGATGAAGTGGCCGGGAAATAATTCCTACAAGCAAACACACTGCGCTGGCTCAGATATGGTGACAAAGACCCTGCTTCGGGAATTAAAATGGCATCTAAAAGAGCGTGAGAGATTAATACAAGAGATCGAAAATGAACAGAAAGTGAAAAAAACAGGTGTGGATTACAACTGGCTGCGAAACTACCAGAATCCTCAGGCAACCATCCCAGCTACCGAACAAAGACAGCTTGAAGTTCTTTGTTCCCAAGTGCACCCTTGTCAAACCGGAACTATTCTCAGCAGGTAATGTGCTGCATTCGTGTGTGTGTGTGTGTGTGTGTGTGTGTGTGTGAGCTGTTCCACCTTCAGACTAGAAACTGCCCCATTCTGTCAGTGTTTTAATCACACGCACTAGATACTTGTCTGTAAAACTCTATAGACTTCATAGCTTACTGGTATAAATTTATTTTAATTACAATCAAAATTTCTTCACTGGAAGCTTTAATTACAAAGTTTTTCTGATTATTCAAAAGGTAAGTACCTAGCACACAACTACATTATGTAAGCTGCATTTGGGAGGCGGATGGAGTACAAGAGAAATTTCTAAACATTCATCCCTGCATCCCCCTTAGATTCCGAGAACTTCTGGCAGAAAACGATGTACTTCCCTGGGAAATCGTCTACATCTTCAAGCAAGTTCTGAGAGACTTCCTCAGCAGTCCTGACAGAGGGGGTCGGCACGCTGGCCCATGGGACTCCGCCGCCAGCTGTTCCCCGGCCCCTGTGTTCTCGGGCGAAAGCTCCCAGAGGCCCCACAAAGAAGAAATACCCACGATTTCAAGTTATGTAGACAGACACGCCAACAGCAGGCTTCTGTCATGTTCACACAGAGTGTGGAACCGGCCGCACTACTACCCATCGAGTTAAGAACACCGAGGGCACCTTACCATCGCAGCTCAGAGCACCAGCCAGGACAGTGATGTGACCTCATGTTTCTCTGTTACAAGGTCAGAAGTTAAAATTCCTGTCACCAACCTGTTTTAGCAGTGTTTTTAACCACTCTAAATATTCAATATTTTCATTGATTAGTATGCTTTTAACTAAAATGTTGCCTAAATGTTTGAAGTATTTTCTTACACCTCAAATGTCACAGAACTAAGCAAATTTAATATGAAGTTTGACTATTTTTTGTGAAACTTAACCTTGACTTTTATTCTGAGAGCCCATGTGTAGAATAAATGATTAATATGAACTTCTTACACTGCAATACTGAAATGAAGTCAGATCCATTATATGATGTCACCCTCCATGGGAACAAGAGGAAGGGGCCATGAATGTGGAAGCAATATTCAATTTAAAATACAGCTTTCCCTGTTTCTGAGAAGAGTTCACTATAATCATGGGTAGGAGACAGCAAAATCACGCCATTTGAGCTAGGCATAGAGGTCAGCCATGATGCAGGCAAGATGCCGCATGACAAAGGGGGACAAAGAGGCCCAGAGAACCAAGAAAGGTAGACTTCGATTCTGGCTAGCATCCAAAAGGAAGGAGAAAGAAAATATCACTCCCTTTCTGAGTTCTGACTCAGACCCAACAGAACCTCATAGCAGCTCATGGGGACTGCTATCTGATTTCTAATCATGGTTAACAGAGCCAGGTGTTTATACTTCAAGCTATTTACTTAAATCTGGTGATGGAATTAAGGTTGAATCTGTGCACACGTGTGTGTATGCATATGTGTATTAAGTATTTAGGATGCCTGGGGTGCTTCAGGTACATTTTATTGAAAATTATATGGGCACGATAGCTAAAATTTTTAGCTAGGGAATAGATAAAATGAGTTCATCTGCAGAAAACCAGCTGTTACAGTATTCACAAAACACACCAGTACGTTGTCATTATTAGCCAGATCAATCTGTTTAGCAATGTTTAAATACTACATTCTGGGTACTGTGCACAATTTCTCATTTAATCCAAACCTTGTACATCTCACTCGACAAAGGAATAGCTCAGACAAGTTCAGTGCCAGGTTCAAGGTAACTAGCAGAGCTGGAATCACACTCGGCCTGTCCGACCCCAGCCTCATCTGCTTTCTGCAGTCCAGACACAAATAACAGCCGCCTGTGGACACCTCCTCTTAGATGCTTAAAGGAAGTGTCAAGTCCGCACGCTCAAAACCCAAGTCTCAGCAGGTTTGTTTCCTAAAGGATAGAGAGATGCTCTGAAGGCCACAATTAAGAATTCAAATTGAGGCAGAGGCAGGTAGATCTCTGTGAATTTGAGGCCAGCCTGTCTACTACCGATTGAGTTCCAGGACAGGTTCCAAAGCAAAGAAACCCTGTCTCAAAAACAAAACAAAAAACAAAAGAATTCAAATTCAAATTTCTCCAATAGCAATATTCCCACAGAAAGTCGCTTGGTATACTCAGCCTTAGGTGCAAGTGTTGTGCGAGCTGCTCCTTCTGTAAATAGTAGCTGAGCACTGGCCTCATGCCAGACACTCTTCTTGGTGCTGTAGCAGAGAACCATGAAAAGCCAGCTCAAAGATGGGAGGTGCTTACAGTAACACAGCAAGAGATATGCTTTCTTCCAGGCTGGTCATGTGTGAACTGTGAGCCACTCTCTTACTCTGGAAATACATATAGTGCAGTTGCTGTAAATAAATACCCTCAAAACCATCCTTCAGGAAAATCAGCCATATTTCATGTATCAGACAACGTACATCTTTTGAGTCAGTCCAAGCAGGAGCGAGTCAGAAAGTTACAAAGGAAACTCTACTCCCCATTCTGGCACCCATTCCCCCCTATCAAGGGAGTCAGCACTCATCACTGTCAGAGGGACAAATAGCTATCTACCGTGCCTGTTAGCACATCAAAGAGCAGGCCAGCCTCCAGGCTCACTGAGTGCCAGTGGCTCTTCTCACTCCACCCCTACCCTAAACCTCTCCAGATCCTGGGCTTCCCCTGCCCCAGCTTCTCTCTAGGTAACCCTGCCTTTTCAGCCACATGCTTCTCTTGGCTCTCTCTCCCCCTCTCTCTTCTCTCATGGTCTGGTCCAATCTGCTGGCCATGTGTAGTCTACTACTTTCTCTTCCTGCTTCTTCCAGGGCTCTTCCAGATGGCTCTGGCTATACTTTCCTCATCTCTACAATATAAACCTTCCTCCTCAAACATACCTTGGAGTGGCCATGTCCAGAATAAAGAGCAGGCATAGAGTACCCAACTTGACAACTGGGATCTAGACATTGCATTCAAATACCCAAGTGTCTACTGTATATCAGCGGCTGCAGTAACTAGCGGGAATTCTGTGATAATTTCCACAATCAGTAAGGTGTTCTGTTGGAAGCAATACAACTCCAAAAATATGCAAAGAGATGCATAAGCAGAGTGCTGAGTGAGCCCCTTCTGCTCAGATGGCCCCACTCCATGGCCTCCCTTGATCCTTCCACCCCCTCTGACCCCACCCCAATCTCTCCATGCCTTCCCTTGATCCTTCCCCTCCCCCTGCAAAAAAAAATTTAAAAAAAAAACTCTCCTTACTCAATCCAATAATGTCAGTGTTGGTGTAAGGATTAACGTAGCTGCAATCAGAGTGCTTACTACACGCTAGGATGCTACACACCGGATGTACATGTGTTCAGAGTCCAGGAAGGCACCGAAGAGAAATGCCACTAGCACTATTCAGAAAAGCGTCACCAGTAACTCATCAGGCAGGCAATTAAAGTGGTCTGGAGCGCTGACAAAGTATCGGAATGTATGCCAATCTAGTTTTTTAATGGCACACTCACCTTCTGTCGGCTCACTGTTCTGCAGACTCACCTTTGATTAACACGTCTCAGTCCATAAAGACTTGAAGAGTTTAAAAATTGCTCCTTAGAAATTAAAATGACAAATGAATCTATACTTTTAGTTTCTGACAAGGTCAATAAATTCTAGTTCCGGTATCAAAATAAATGAATGAAAACATTATATTCCTCCAGGGAAGCCTAAGGCAGTTGCAGAGCCTTAAGTGGAGCTCTGACACAAAATCATCACCACAGTAATTCAAGGAAATAAAGTCTGAAAAATCAAACAAATTAGCCACTCTATGTCCCCGGGGTTCCTCCAAAAAACAAACTCAACCAAGATCTAAAGGTTGTATTCGACTCTACAAAAGACGGAAGCAGTGCTAACAAGAATCACTTTTAAAAGCTAAAACACTGCCAGCAAGACTGAGAGCAAGTAAGGACACTGCCACACAAGCCTGACACCTGAGTTCCGTCCTTAGAACCCAGCACTCCTGTGGTGAGGTGGGCGGCAGACAGGAGGAAACACAGTCAAGAGAAACCCCGACCCAACAAGGGAACAGGCAAGAAGCGCTGCTGAAAGCTCCCTCCGCCCTCCACACACAGATCCTAACTTGTTTATATGCTTACACACACCCTGTATCTTCCCTGTAGTATTCCGAAGCAAGCACACACATCAATATAGCCCAGAAACACAGAATAATAAATTTTTGAAAATTAAAGAGACAGAGTTGGTGGTGCATACCTGTAATCCCAATGCCTTGGAGATTAACGCAGGAGGACCACTTATGCTCAGTTTCAAGATTAAATTGGGCAAAATAGTAAAACACTGTCTTGAAATAGTTTTTCATTAACAAACGGCTCTCAACAACTGCCAAGAGCGCTGGGTTTCAGGTGGGAGTAACAGAGGTACCAAGCTAGGGTACTACCATGCTGGCTTCTACTCGCCACCTCCAGTCTCTCCTAAACAGGTGTCCTTCTGCCTGGCTCCCACCACATCCACCCATCACTCGAGGCAGACACTTAACCCAAGGAGAGTGATGAGAGGTAAAAAGGTTAAAGAAACCGAACAAGGACTGAAGAGATGGCCCGGTGGTTAAAAGCACTTGCTGCTCTTCCAAAGAACCAGAGTTCAGTTCCCAGCACCCACATTAAGTAGCTTAGAACTGCCTGCCACTCCCGAGTCCAGGGATCTGACACCCTCTTCTGGCCTCTACGGGCACCTGCACTCATACTCAGTACATCCACAATGACACTAAATTTAAAACAATAAAGTGAAATTGAACAAAGAATTAGCATCAAACTCTTTGCTAGTTACCTACTGAAATGTACAAATGTACTGAAAACTTTTGTCTCTATAGAAACCTGCACAAATGCAAACAGCTTCATTTGTTAACTTCCAGAACTGGGAAACAACCAAGATATGTGTCCGCAGATAAGTATGTTGAACCTCAAATGCAATTACTAAGTGAAAGCAGCCAGTCTCAGAGGGCTGAGATTGTGTGATTTCAACCACACAGAACTCTGCAGAAGAAAAACATGGAAACAAACAAAAATTACCCTTAGTTGTCAAAGGTTAAGGAGCAGTAAAACCAGGTGGACCACGTTGATTTTTTACTGCTAACGATACCGGGATGGCAACAGATGTGCAACATCACGAATCCAAAGCCATGCCGTGTTTGCAACACCACAAAAACCTCAAGCATCACTTGAGGAGTCTGGAAAATTATTCTTCACCACACCAGCGTGTGTGCATTAACAAGCAACAGTGGGAAGCGCAGAAGGGAAGCGGACATTTTGGTAACTCTGCACAAGGTTTCTGGAAACGGGCAACCAACTTCAAAACCAGTGTCTGGGGACTCTAGAGAGAGGAACCGGGAATTAAAAGTATAGAATGGTTTTGCAGAAGACCTGAGTTTCATTCCCAGCACCCAGGCAGGTCAGGGGGCTCACAATGACTTCACGCCTTTAATCCCAGGAGGCAGAGGCAGGCGGATCTCTGTGAGTTCGAGGCCAGCCTGGTCTACAGAGCGAGTTCCAGGACAGGCTCCAAAGCAACAGAGAAACCCTGTCTCAAAAAACCAAGCCAAACAAACAAATATAAAATAACCCTTCAGGAAGGAAGGTAGATAGCATCTGGGGCAGTGAGATGCCTCAGCTGGGAAAGGGCACCTGCCAGCAATCCCAGTGACCAGAGTTCAATCCCCAGGAGCCAACACAGGTGGACCTACTCTAACAAGGTATCCTGGCACAAGTATACACACACACAATCTCACCCACAATGAATCCTTGCAGTGAAAATTTTTAAAGCAGTCTATGAACTTGGGGCTGGTGGAATAAACCTGTAATCAAGACTTGGGGAGGTGGAGGGCAGAGAATTGAGAAATTCAAGGTTATCCATGGAGGCATAATAAGTTGAAGCCAGGATAGTCTACACAAGACCCTATTTCAAAACAATAGGCAGGAAATTAAAACAAACAAGT